ACCTTGATATGTTTCGAATTTACTAACGGGATTTATTTTGTTTGACAATTTGTATTTATTAGTCATCGTAATTAAAGAATACCGAGATGCGACGTCGAAAGGGTCAGAAAGAATACTATGTAAAAAGGGTGTCCGGTTGTTGTCGAAGTTTTTTTTGGTTAATAGGGAGTTTCTTTTTTTGTTGTACGGGACAGACAAGTCTTTACGTGGTGACGCATTCATTATAGGTAGGGTATACATGCTTATGAAGTCCAACGACGAGATCTACGATATCAAGTTCGGTCTATGAACCAGTATTGGAGCATGTAGCACCACGCGGGGTCGAATGTAAAGTTCAGAGACAGGATATTTAATGTTCTTCTCAGGACTCTGATCACATACTAGTGCGGAGTACATAAGAAGTACAGGAGAAGACTGCGTCAGCTTGTACACTCACACGTTATATCGCGGGGGTAGAAGAAGTTACAGAGAAGGTTGTGGATGCTTTCGTACACAAGGGGATCAATGAATGTAATGATATCAGAGAGAACAGATCGTCGCTCTGTGAAATTTTCAGCTCAGTTCCGGACTTTTAACCAGGGCGGCGCGGAACTCAAACTGTGTGAGCAGAAAGAAATAGATAGCTACACTTGTGCCTGGATGTGTAGTTGTGTTAGAATAGCGGCTTGGTGTAAAAAAAGGGAGAGTAGTTACTCAAGAGAAAGATAGATACGCTCGTATCTTCTCGCAGTGCGGATTTACGATATAGAAGTGACAGACGACTCCAGGTCGATCTGATAAAGAGATCGTGAGACAACAGGATTGTGTGGAGTGTGTACAGAGAAGATCGTAGTTGTACACAGGCGGAGAAAGAAGTACAGGAGAAGATGGTGAGTTGTCACACAGGGGTAGAAGACGTACGAGAGAGATGTAGTTGTAGCCAGGTAGGAAGAGGTTACAGAGAAGGGATTGTAGTTTGGGATACACAGGTCGTCTTTCTTGGTAGGTATTCGAGCCAAGTAAAGGATAGTGTACACAGGGGCATGAAGCATAGCGGTCATGTCTACAGAGTCGTCACTTGTAGTGTTTGTGAAACCCATCTATTACACGCCTAGAAGCAGACTGTTGTAACAGTGGCAAACCAAAATTGTGCAATAAGTTCATTTCAAAAAGTTTTGCAATAAACATTGAACCAGTCCGGCTAGTACCACTAGTACCCATTTTGTAATTGTGGCCCACTGTGTATTTGAGTTTGACACCCCTGCTTTAAGCGTTTATCATGCACCTTTCTTAAAACCTTGTGAATTGACTAGGGTTTGAAATCAATGTCAATGTCACCTGCTAGATAACAATGCTTGGACGTACAGGCCTTTGTGATGACAGACTTATAGGAAGTAAGTGATGCTTAAGATGGTGTATTCTTCAGGTGGGAGGCGAACTGTCCCCAGCCTTCCTTATTTATATTGTTGCCCTGTCTTTCTTTATAGTGAAATGAGTGTCACACGATGATGCGTCAAGGACGACTGTATCTGTCAGTGGATGAAACCATGCATGTCCACCCTGTGTTACCTTCAGTTCGTTCTGTAGCACGATGTCAGAGAGATTTCCATCCCTCTCATCGCTCAGGGATGGACTGGGATTACGTTGCTGTCAGTCAAGAGGGAGAAAAATGATCAGCAAAAATACTTCGCCTGAGGGAAATGTCACAAGTGTCACAATTCAATTCAATCGTTACCGCCCGGGGGAAGAAAAATCTCACAAAGAACTTTGCTAAAAAAACATGTAATGTGGGAATCTCTCTTATTGAAAGCCTTACAGTACTAAGAAAGAGAGAGGGTGTATCCCCTGGAGAGTAAGTGCTATGCTGTAACGATAAAAAGCCTCCATACCATTTCAAAGCTGAGCAGCATGCTCTTCAGCCTGTCAATCTCCTCCCTCAGCTCCCTGATCAGCCGAACACTGGCATCCTGCACACAGAGCACAGCACACATTAACCTGCTGAAAGCTTTTGTATCAAACATTGAGTGTTGGCACCGCACTATTAACAGCCACTGACCTCATTAACCCGGGGCTTGTTGACAATATTTCTGGCATGTGCAGCATAGCGCAGGGTGCTGAGGGTCTCGTTGTAGCTGTTAGCAGAGGGAGAGACCGCTGCAACACAAACACACACACAAATTCACAAGCAAAAGTTACACATAGAAATTAGAACACACATCACATGTAATAAGATTGAGACGAAAACATTACAAGAAACACCTTTCAGACATTGTATGCAGACATTTTCGCCTTTTATTAACATTATTTGTACAATTGAATTTTCACTATCGATTATCCCTTTCATTTTCTATTTTTTACTTTAAAGGTCCCATGTCATGCTTTTCCGGTTATTACCCGTCCCCTCACACACACACACACACACACACACTCAGTGCAGGCAGCTCTGCTGATCTCTCCTCCCTGGCTGCAGGCTGATAACAGACAGTTGGGATCGCGCGAAATTCTCTCTGCAGACCCATTCTCACAGCGTTTATCAAACTTTTTCTTACTCAATATCAAGCCACACTTATTGTTTTTACTTCGGCTGTGACTTTGTGTGTGCTCGGGGTGAGTTTGGCTGTGTTTGGCTGTGTATCGCTAAACAAGGAAATAACACGTCCACGGAGCTCAGCGCGATTCACAACGTCCCGACCAATCAGAGCACACTGGACGTGTTATTTCCTTGTTTAGCGATACACAGCCAAACACAGCCAAACTCANTACGGTATACAGTATGTATGAAGAGTATTTGTATATTTATATATTCTAACAATTGCAATGATGCAGGCAGAGTTGGATGACTTTAAGAAGTCCTTACTATAATTGTACTTGTTTTGTTTAAAAGGGAAGTAGAAAGTGGTTTGATGGAGTGCCTGAACAAATGTTTCAATAAAAACACATAGCGTCGTTTTTTCCGAATTGATAAGACATCCATTAGGCAACATCTTAAAAAACTGTATGATATATGCTGCTTTTTATATCTTTCAATATTTGTGGCTTTGGACGGTTGGTCAGACCATATAAAAGGTTGGAAAATGTGAGGTACAGCTCTGGGAAATAATGATTTTCATTATTTGATGTTTTATGTATGGACTCTTTTGTTGCAGTCCTATACTTTGGTCTCAATTTTGAATCCACAAATAGACTACAACCCTGAGTGACCACTTCAAAAAGCCTAACATACTTCAATCTTAAAAAAAGACATTTGGGTCCAAATAGAAGTCAATCATTGACTCTGAATTTCTGAAAGTCCTCAAGAAAAAAAGTCTTCAAGATGTCAATGAAGGAAAGAGAGTTGTATAATCGGATTTGATAGGACAACTCCTCACTATCTCCGGCCGTCTGTCAGCCGGGTGGAGACGGATGGCAGGTCTCGGATGTGGTGCAGGGCATTAACCATGTCATGCATTTGCACAGAACGCTCCTCCATCACCTGCCCGAGCACTTAGCCTGGGCGGCAGGGGGAGACCCGACTCACCCCACCCCTGACGGCTGAGAGACAATTAGCGTGATGCACGGCGACTCATCCCTCATCCAACCGGGGAAGGGGTGATGGATCCACTCCAGCCCCAGGCTCCAAACGGGTCTCCCTCGGTTGTAGGTAGGGGAATATGCGTGGGTGAAGTTGCGGATGCTTGATGGAGGGTTATGAGGTTGAGTTGGATGTAAAGGGTGCAGATACTTCCCTTCTGAACGCGGGGGTCACAGGTTCAGATCCTGGCTAAAGGATGGATAACATTTCATATTTATGAGCTGTGGTGCTGAGATATCAACGTTAGTAATAGATGTTGCAATGAAAGCACTAATCATTGTAGATAAATGCTTCTTTTTTTAAAGGTCACCTACTGTATTATGCAAAATCCACTTGTTCATGTCTCTTCTACATCAACATGTGTCCCCTCTGTGTAAAGAGATTCTGAAAGTTTCCGGAAAAAATATTCTCTCTCTTTTTTTCCTGATCCAT